TGCGTTTCAAAACACAACAAGCACTAGATACGTGGCTAGAGAAGTGCAAGTATCAAAAACTAAGGTGTGGCAAACGCTGCGTGAAGAGGGGCTGTATCCGTTTCACGTCCAACGTGTACAAGCCCTTCAACCTGACGATTTTCCAGCAAGAGTGCGGTTTTGTGAGTGGTTGTTGCATCAACATGACAATAATCCGGACTTTTTGAAGTGCATATTGGTGACAGACGAAGTCAGTAGAAAATCCGCACGCTGTCCGTCAACAAACATTTTCGGTGAATGTTTGGGCTGGCATGGTGAACGGTATGCTCATTGGACCATTTATTCTCCCAAATCGATTGGACGGGATGCAATACCTAGACTTTTTACGCAACATTTTGCCTTCCTTGTTAGAAGATGTGCCATTAAGTGTAAGACAATCAATGTGGTTTCTGCACGATGGTCATATTTGTTACCTCTGTTCGTGGTCTGCACCACCGCCCGGCGTCTGCTCGGTAGCGCATCAGCTGATTTCATTTTCTGTTGAAGCGGTATGATTTAGGGCAGAGACGTACTTAGCCCTTCTCGTCAACTGGAGAGTGAGTACTTTTTTTACTTGGTCGCCCTCGTTTCACTACACATTACCTTTGTTATTGCAAGGGTAGTTGTTTCTGGAAAGGAAAACCCCAACTTTGCGGACACCCTGTATTGCGGCTCAAAAATGCACAAAAATACGCCGAAGTTTGCACGAATTTTCGACATCTGAAAAATTTTGCATATGGATGGAGCTTAAATTAGAAATGCATCTTTAGCACAAATATGAATGAAATCTACAATGAAGTCACCCAGCAGGTATATTATTTCCATGCATATCTTACGTATTGAGCAACGTTTTTTCTGTACAGCGGGGTACCAACCTTAGACGTTGGAAATGATGCGCCTTACAAATGTCAAGCAGTTTTTCTTTCTCTATCCTCATTTATTCCTTTCTCTGTTTTACTAGTTGAATGGTTTAGCAGCTCCTGGCCATCGTTTGATATTTGCAGTCTTCGTTTTTTAGATTTATATCAAGCAAGCTAAGAAACAATTAAATACGCATTGGCGGAGCCAACAGCTGGAGTGGTGCCTACAGCAGTGCTTGCAGCATTTCGTTATTTTGGGTAGCGGCACAATAAAAATTCACAGTAGAGGTAACAGATTCGCAAGTACACAAGGTCGTGGCTGAACCAAATAGCTCGTACAACTTGAGGACTAGCCAACTCCAAATTTCAAAAATAATTTTCAAGTTTCAGTTAACAATGCCACACTTTTGCATTGTTCTTCGTTATTTTAGTCCATCCCTTATTTCTCTCCGAACAGGCAAACAAACCTGATAGCCACAATAACCTTCAAAACAGAACAAGAAGTCCAGATCACCGAGGACTTGATCTGGCACGAACATGTCAATAGCGGCAGCTGCTGGGAAAAAGCTAGGCCCTTTGTTTAGGACTTTGCTCCACATGACCTCCACACTGTGTACAATGTCCAGATAAGACTTAGCCTCGAGTACTGCTCACATGTTTGGGGTGCTGCCGCCCCTACCACATTATTCATGTTTGATGTTATCCAGAGGAGGACTCAGGACCCTTTCGCACCTGCGGGTCGTCGGCGAATTAGACCTCTTCTGTCGCTACGCCAATGGGCTTTGTTCCGCAGAGTTTTCCTTCAATATGGCGCCGCGCGATGTGCGCGCCAGACAGACTCGCCTACCTAACCGTGTCGAACTTCGTAAGCCCAGTACTTGCCGATACGACCGCTCCTTTGTCTCTAGGGTATCAAGATTGTGAAGCAATCTACATGAGGTTTTTCCAGTTCTCATGCAGTTCGAAATTAACAGGGCTTCTTTAGCCTACTCATAACAGCCGCGTTGTCCTGGCATTTAGGCTTCTGCCAGCGCGGTTACTTCGGAGTAAAAAAAGCTAGGCCTGCCTGTTATAAAGATTAAAGTTATACGGTTGATTCTATTTTTGAACAGTTGGAAGATTCGTAGATCTGCAAACCCTCTTCAAGCAGATTTTTTCACAATCTAGACGTCTAACCTCACTTGTTGTTATGCCCAGTTATCGATGCAGAGAATTTGACAGTTACAGACATAGAATTATGAGCTTGGCGGGTCCGACGGAGAGGATTAAAGTGTAGCGCACACGAAATCATCAGTATCTCACAGCACGAAAAGTGAAAGAAGCACTTAACACCTTAACAACCTGACGTGTGCACACCAATGGTTCATGTTCTTCGCGAAAGGTTATAATGTCACGGCAGCAAACATTAAGAGATAGAAAACATGCGATTCTCCCATAATATTCTTTCGATTGGAAGATTATTTGAGGTCGCAGTTTTCTATCTGGCATATCGAAGATTTTCCGAACAGATAAACAATCCGGTGGGATGGTCACACACAGCGGACTTTTCACTGCTCAACGTTCTGACATTTACTGTTTGAAAAAATAAATTGATTCGATTAGTTTTATAGAAAACGTGAGGTGAGAGGATTGGACAGGTATATGTGGTTGTAGTTCACTCGTCGCGAGCGCCATCTATGAACGAACAGCACAATGAACATTTTGCCTAAACCACTGCAATAGAATTTCGCTAGCATGGTTTATGGGTTGCCTGTTTCTAGGAAGGAGTTATACGATGTACTTAATTTATATTCATTATTGGATAATACTCGACCAAATAGACGACATCCAGCACGCAGTGAAGAAAATATAGCTGCGGTAGCTGAGAGTATACGTGAGGACCGTGAAGAATCGATTCGGCGCCGTTCTCAACAGCTTGGCTTGTCGTGTTCAACAACTTGGCGTATTTTACGTAAGAATCTTAATTTGAAACCTTACAAAATTCAACTCGTTCAAAAATTGAAGCCGACCGACTTTCCAAAGCGTCATCGTTTCAGTCTTTGGGCTCTTGCACGGCTTGAAGAAGATCCGATGTTTTCGAGCAAAATTTTGTTTAGCGATGAGGCCCATTTTTGGCTTAATGGCTACGCTAATAAACAAAACTGTCGTATTTGAAGTGAAGAACAACCCGAAGTGGTTCAAGAGCTGCCATTACATCCAGCGAAAACAACCGTTTGGTGTGGTTTATGGTGGAATCATCGATCCCTATTTTTTTAAAAATGTGGCCGGTCAGAACGTGACTGTGAATGGTGCTCGTTACCGCGCCATGACAACGGATTATTTGCTGCCTGAAACTGAAGCCCGTAATCTCGATGATATTTGGTTCCAACAAGACGGCGCCACTTGCCACACAGCCCGTGCAACCATGGCTTTATTGCGAGAACATTTCGATGAACACTTAATTTCACGATTTGGACCAGTGAATTGGCCACCTAGATCATGTGACATCACACCTCTAGACTTTTTCCTTTGGGGCTACGTTAAGTCCAAAGTCTACATTGATAAGCCCAATACGATTGAGGAATTAGAAGCCTACATTACGCAGGTCATTAGACAAATTCCAGTCGAAATGCTCCAACGTGTCATCGAAAATTGGAACTTTAGAATGGACCATCTCAACCGCAGTCAGGGCCAACATTTGAAAGAAATAATATTTAAAAAATAAATGTCAAAAATAGTTCTTTTCTTTAATAAAAAAGATTTGAGAAGAAAAAAGAATTTTGTTATTTTATTTTGTTGCTGAAAAAAGTACCTATAAATGAATCACCCATTACCAACAGGCAAATCCTAAGCGACTATATGTGAATCATTGATTAATTCCAAAATTTCATATGGAATCATAACGTATTATACTTGTTTAATCAGACTACAGAAAATTCAAAATTCTTGTTGCCGGTTAATAAATAATATGAGGAAATATGCTAATCTAACTGGCCCAATCGAAGGTTTACGTTGGCTCAAAATTAATAAGCTGTTCAAATATTTATTTTTGTCATTTGTAAGATTTAAGCTAACGTTTAACACAGGCATTCATGATTAAAATTTAAGGTATGTTTTAGTGCTCTCACTCATATAACGGTGCTAAATATTAAAATGCATTAGACACCAATATTAGGAATACAACAAATCATCATGAATTTATCACTATTAAAACAATATATTTTCGTTGTGGGTCTATTGCATCAATAGCTCGACGGATATTTTTCTTAAGAACATCAATTGTTTGAGGATCGTTAGTTTAATAGCGGACCTCAACAGTACCCGATAGGAAGTAATCCATGGGCGTCAAATCACAGCTGCGGGCTGGTCAATGAACGTCTCCGAAACGGCTGATAACGCGATGACCGAACTTAGTGTGTAAAAGATCGATTGCTTCACGGCTGGTGTGGCATGTTGCACCATTCTGCTGGAACCAGCAGATTGTGCAAATGCATGTCGTCTAATAATGGCCACAAGAAACTCCTCAACATCATAGCGTTCTCCGTTTAGCGTCACGCTGTTACCATCTTCATCTTCAAAAAAGTAGGGACCAATAATCCCACCACTCCAAGAGCCACACCAAACAGTCACTCTTTTTGGACGTATTGGTTATTCTATGACGGAATGTCTATTTTCAGAACCCCACAGTTCTGCTTGTTAACGTAACATCCTAGATGGAAATGGGCTTCGTCCGAAAAGATGATTTGGCGACCAAAATTGACTTCCATTTCCAGTTGATTTAGAGCACGCACAGAGAAACGATATCGAAGCGGATGGTCATTTTGTTTCAACTATTGTACAGGTTGTAAGGAAATAATCCCAGCACATTTGTTCAAGATAAAAACGATCCGTTGCTCACAGCTGAAGTTTGACACAATATATCTGTCAATATGTTGAGCATGGAAGTGTCAAAATAATACCAACTTCAAAAAAAAACAACTGATGACCGACCCTTTAGTTTATAGTATTATATGTACTTAATTCAGACACTTCCTTCTCTCAAAATATTGGTTGGGTAGATTGGCCAATCACCATTTTGTTCAACATCTAAAATAGGTTCCTAAACTGAAGGCAGATGAATCTAAAATTTTATGTTACCTCGTACTGCATATATCTCTCTTACTCACTCAATCTTCTTGTGATGTATACATACCTGGAAAAAGAGAAATATCATTAAATAACTTGAACTAGTCAGCAAGGATTTTGAACGCTCTTTAATTGATGAGTTTTCACAAGACCGTTTCTCAAGTACAACAATACAGCTGCGGTGTTTCCAACTTCGATTTTTTCTTCAACAGTTCTTGCAGTCTTGTCTATCAAATGCTGCCGTATCGAGACAGATAGATCAGCCGAGCAAAACCAGTTGACATATCGGTAGAAGAGAATGATATGTTCCCTGTGTACTATTTTGAGCCGTGAAACTACATCCATATGTGTATTAAAACCGCGAACGATATTATACAAAGAAAAGCAGCGGGCGCCGATATTTTTTCGCTCCGCATTAGCATAGACTGTCCGTTTCACCGTCGTATGTCCTTCTTCATGTCGTTTCCTTGTCCTCTGTCTTCCTTCGCATGTTTAAACTTGCAGAACAGGACGCGGACTTGGGAATTTGCATTTCTCTACATACGTAAAAACTAATGATGTCCACTTAATTGATGTGGAGCACCGTTCGTGGATTTTTGCAAAAGAGGAATTTCAATCAGTTTGTGTGCGGTCGCTTGTATATCCAGCTGAATGGACGAAGAAAGAACGACGGAAAATATAGACTCATTTCAAAGGGCATCCATTTTGCAGAGCAAAGCAAGCTAGGTACCAAGATTATCGCTCCTAGCAAGGATTCAAACGACTTTATGTCCCATCTCATTAACACCTTGACTGTCTCAGTAACGTCTGCCTGTAATACCTTTACAACAGTTAGGTCGGGTCAGGTTTTTGTGAGAGGCTCAGTTCACTGGTGTCTTGTGGCTCACACCTATTTATACAACAGGGTGTTTCAGTTTATTGTTGCATAACATTAAGATTCGATTGAACTTTTAAAATTAATGCATAAAGTCCATATAAACATGGGTCGAAAAATGCGTGGCTTCCGAAATACAGGGTGTTTAAATTTACTTTTTAAAATAGTTTTTTTTGAATATTTCGAACAATATTTGATGAATTTGAATTATTATTGCACATTTGTATGCACTTCGTTTTTATCGATTCTACGCAAAATCCGTTGTTTTCCGTTTCCCTGACAAACAAAAAACGTAAATCGTCCCATTAACTAGTGGACGTGGCATTTAACGCAGGAGACAATGTGATGTGCATGGAGAAAGAACGGTGAGCAAAAAACGACATAATAGAAGTGAGACGGCGAGTACGATAATTAGAAAACCATCAAGATGTGACATCCTGAATTTTGCGTCACCAACTGTACAAAGACCATAAGCTGCTGGAAGCGTGATGTGTATCGCCGAACACAGTGGCAGGACTAAATTATAGAAATGATGCCCAGTTGAACTAAATCTAGGCGAAATCGAACTTACTGGTGATTCGATTCCGGTATTGGAACTGACTCCTTCGAATCCCAGAAGTCTGGCCTGGCAGTCTAATTTTCACTGTTCAAAAGACATAGGATTGAGATATTGCTTTTAATTTTAAATGCATCGAATGGACGATCTGTTATCTGTAGCACCAGTGGGTACCTCCTGCCTTCTGTGGTGTACAAGTGTACAAGTTGGACCCATTTTTTTGTGGCAATCAGTGAGTTTGAAACATTTTATAACTTATTCTTCGGTTTTTGGATGCAACAATCAGTCCAATGGCGGAAGAGTAATTTGCAATTAAATACCCTTACCAATGTTTGCGTTAGAGACGGTTTCACTATCCAAATGCTCTAGAGTTTGCTTTCTCCGATATCATCAAACCTTTTTTCGCCTATTCATCATCTTCCTTAAATGCTACTTTCCTTTATCGCGTTTCGTCTTCTACGAAAACCTTAACATTAAACTAGCAGCTTGACATGGACCCTGAAACCTAAACTGTTTGTCAGAAGTATTACCTTGTAGATCGTTACTCGTTTGGAGTCACTGAAATTAAAAACCCTGTTTTTGGAATTAGGATCGAAAGTACCGAAAGACACCGACCCAGCTCTAAGTTTACGTCGTTTTCAGAGCTTATCCAGTGTTGGACTCTATCCCAAACTATTGGAGACGGTGGTAATGGCCTGACAAGGCTTTACCTAGACACTCCAAGAGTGAATGTTAGTATTTATAGTCACAAGCCAATCTCATCCCCAAGACAGGCATGTGTCACTTTCTTATAGCGATGACTTAGATCAAAGTTTCCAGTATAATAAAAATGTAGCAGGGTGTTATACGTTTAAAATATTAACAATGAATATCTTGATAATATATAGTAGAAAACACCAACTTTATCACTCCCTAATCAAATTTGCAGCATAAAAATTACACATGTTGCAATTACAGCATATCAACCTGTTTTCATTTCAATGCAAAATAAGTCTACAACGCATAGGTGGCTGTGAAAAATAAAAGCCATGACAATTGTTTTTATTAATCACAGCTGTCAGAATACGTTTAAAATAGTTTTGGGTAGTTAAGGTTTTCAAAATGGGTAGAGGAAAGGTTATTAGTGAGAAAATTCGGTAACTGATAATTAAATTTTTTAAATCTGGGAAATCAAACTCAGGAATTGCAACTTTGTTAGACTTATCGCGGTACAGTCTGAGAAATATTATTATATATTAAGAAAAATAATCGTGAAAAACAGGCGTGCCAATTATTTACAATTAAGTGCTCTGAGGAGTGACGCTGTTGGAAGGAGAATTTCGAGGTCCACAACTCATAGAGAGGCCCACAAACCGGGATTTAGCACTTGCAAGGTAAGTTTTCTTATAAAAAAAAGTGAAGTAAAAACCCTAAAGTTGCACAACTCGTTTATAAGCCAAAGAAAAGCCACTATTAACTCCACTGCAAAAGAAAAATCGGCTTAGATGGACTAAAGAACATAGACAATGGACACCTCAACAATGGTATGCAATACAATGGAGTGATGAGGCCTGATTCGAAGTTTGTGTTGGTGACAGTCGCAGTAGAGTTATTCGCAAAAAAATGAAGCATTCCATGTTGACTGTCTGAAGAGAAAAGTGAAATTTCCAGCATCCAATATGGTCTGGGGCAGTATGTCATCAAAAGGAGTAGAAAAACATGATTGTATTGATGGAAATGTGGATACAAACAAATATTTGGCAATTTTAGAAGAATCGCTTTTATCAGTGATGGAAGAATGTTTGACATCCGGCCAAGATTTTGTGTTTCAGCAAGATGGTGCAGCGTGCCATACCTCAAAAAAGGCTATAAAATGGATGGAAGAAAATAATGTACCACTTTTGAAATGGGTTCCTAGCAGTCCAGATCTGTCACCTATTGAAACTTTGTGGCACGAGATGAAAAAGGTTCTACGACAACATCCTGCTCGTACAATCACCGAACTGAGACAAAAGCTTCAAGAAATATGGGATTGTCTTACACCAAATTTTTGCCAAAACTTGGTTAACCTATGCCCAAAAAATTTCAGCCGTAATAAATGGTAATTTTTCAATTGTTGCTTTGTTAACTTCGCGCATTTATTCGCACATTGTTTATTTGTTCAGATATTCTATTAGTTATAGGTTTAAGTAATTTCAAATATGTATTTTTTACAACTAGAGTGTATCTAAAATGTTTTTGAGAAAATAAATTGTTTTAGAAGTAAGTAGTTTCGTCATGATTAGTTTATAAAGGCATATTTAGATACAAATCTTGAAGTGGGCCAACTGAAGTGGGAAGGGGCTCGTAGTACTATTTTACTAAGCAGTCAGACGTACCAATTCGTTTGAAAAATTTGTGGATGCTCTTTTAGCATTGAAGCTACGGCTTCGATAGGTGGAATGCAAACAAGCTATGGGCCCAGGATTCAGCAGCCACTTTTTGAAGTTCCATCAACTGTGGATCGTGTGTCACCAATGAAACAATGGTACTTGTTATATATATATATCGAAACAGCCGCGCAGGCAGAAGCCTAAATGCCGGAACACCGCGGCTGCTATGATGATCCCAAAGAAATTTTGTTAATACGATTTTTGAACTGCCTAAGGTTAGTAGAACTGGGAAAAGCTTCCTCCCGTAGATTGTTCCACAATCTAGAAACCCTCGGGACAAAGGAGCGGTCGTATCGGCCAGTTCTGGATGTACGAAGTTTGACACGGTTAGGATGGGACGCCGAAGTAAGGCGGGTCTGTCTGGCAGGCACATCGCGCGGCGGCATCATGGAAGAGAGCTCTGAGGAGCAAAGCCCGTTGGTGTAGCGATAGAAAAGAGCTAGATCGCCGACGGCCCGCCGGTGCGAAAGAGTCCCGAGACTGTCTGTTAGAGAAGAGTCATCGATCAGTCGGACCGCCCTCCTCTGGACAGCATCGAGCATGGACAATGTAGTCGGGGCGGCAGCACCCCAAATGTGTGAGCAATACTCGAGGCTAGGCCTTATCTGGGCCTTGTATAGAGTGAGAAGGTCATGCGGAGAAAAGTACTTCTTAGCCCTAAACAAATAGCCTAGCTTTTTCCCAGCAGCTGCAGCTATTGAAGAGATGTGTTCGTGCCAGATCAGGTCCTCGGTGATCTGGACTCCGACCATCCGAAATGAATAGCTCTTTGGTAGAACTCGACCGTCCATCAAAACTGTATGAGCGCTAGGACGCTTTTTGTTCGTCAAAGTACAGTACTGTGTTTTGGAAGCATTGAACTGTACAAGATTGTTGCGTCCCCAAGCAGTGATAGCCTCCAGGTCTCTTGTCAGAGAAGAAGTCGTCGCTAGTCTTCTTTTTTCCAGTTCAGCGGCAGAGATCGGCTTGTCACTCTGAATTCCTGCATGTAGAGTGCTGTCATCAGCGAAGCTGTGAATTGGGTTGATCGTGCAGGAAAGGAGGTCGTTGATATGTAAGAGAAACAGTGTCGGAGCCAAGACCGATCCCTGGGGAACACCCGCGTTGACGTTGTGGGATGAAGAGGAGAATCCGTCAATTACGACGGATATCTTGCGGCCAGAGATAAAGTCAGCCACCCATCTGCAAAGCTTTTCTGGGAGGCCGTAGGATGGAAGTTTGCTTAAGAGAGCAGCGTGCCACAGCTGATCGAACGCTTTCGTGATGTCAAGAGCAACGACATGAGCCTCACCATGAGACTGGATGAGTTTACTCCACAGTTGGGTGATGTAAGCTAGGAGGTCCCCTGTGGATCGTTGGTGCCGGAAACCGTACTGCCTGTCGCTAATCAAGCTGTGACGTTCGAGGTAGTCCAGAAGCTCGCGATTTATGCACCTCTCCATCACTTTACTTATAACAGAAAGCAGAGCTATAGGCCTGTAGTTGTAAGGGTCGGTTTTAGATCCTTTTTTTGGGATGGGCTGTACATGAGCAAATTTCCAGTTTTCTGGGAAGTTGCCGGATTCATAAGATATCTGGAAGAGACGCGAAAGAATTGGAGCAAGCTCCGCTGCACACCTCTTCAGTACAATGGCAGGAATCAAGTCCGGACCAGAAGCTTTGTTGATGTCGAGCGACAAGAGCACTCGTCTTACGGTCTTATGCCTGAATGTTACCTCCCGCATAGTGTAGGGAACCCTTTGAATTGACGGCACTTGGGCGTTGGTGGGGACGTCCATGGTGGAGTTGGCAGCAAAGATCTTGGCTAGCACTTCCGCCTTGGCCTTTGAGTCGAATACAATAGTTCCATCCTGACACGTAAGCGGTGGAAGGCTACTGTGTGAGAAGTTCTTTTCAATCTGCTTGGCCAGCGTCCAGAAAGACCGACTACCATTGCGCTGCGACATTACCCTGTGCCTAACTTTTATATCATGCTGGTTTTTGGCATTGCGAACCGCTTCGTTGAATGAATGAATGAATGAATGAATCTTCTATGGGTACGGGCCCTAGCATTTTTCACTAACACTTTTGTGCTTAATTTATCCTTGGTTTTCCCTATTAGTAAACTCATCCAGTCGTATGGTGAGGCTCATGTTGTTGCTCTTGATATCACTAAAGCATTTGATCAGATGTGGCATGCTGAACTCTTATGCAAACTTTCGTGCTATGGCCTCGCAGAGAAGGTTTGTAAATGGGTGGCTGAAGTCCTCTCTGGCTACAAGATATCCGTCGTAATTGACGGATTCTCCTCTTCACCCCACAATGTCAACCAGGGATCGGTCTTGGCTCCGACATTGTTCCTTTTACATATCAACGACCTAATTTCCTGTACGATCAATCCGATCCACAGTTTTACTGACGACAGCGCTCTTGATGCAGGAAATCAGAGTGATATTCCGCTTTCTCTTTTCTTTTCTTTAATGCTTCGTGTACCATGACTAACAAGAAGAGTCGTAACGCTCAACTGGTTTCGATGAATGGCCGACTCCTGTCAAAGTGCCGTTCATTTCGGCTGGTCGGAGTCCAGATCACCGAGGTTTCGAAGTACTTTTCTCCGCATGACCTGCTCACTCTAAAGTAGGAGGCTTTTTCCAGTTCTACTAACCTTTGGCAGCTCAAAAATCGGACTAACAAACCTCCTTTAAACTCCCAGTCTCAGCGCCCTGGTATTTGGGCTTCTTCCTGCGCTGCTGCTTCGGAATAAAAGAAAATTAAGTAAAGCTTTAGTCAAGATGTATATCATATTTTATAGAAGTTTCTTGCATGCCTATTTGAATAGTCGTAGTTACGTCGCTGGTTCAATTGGTGCAATAATGAAGGAGTTACGGTGTTAGCGGCGGCGACGGAGCATCGGTGCGAAACAGTGCGGAAGAACGATTTTCTTTGCTCTTTTCGGGCTTAGATGCTCCAATAATTTGCCGTGGCCACCACAAAGGCAGGTGGAATATTGCACCGGTCCAACTAACATTCACTGCGGAACCAGAACATTTATGCAAGTTGACTATAGGCAGTGCTGGTTATGCTTTTTTCTTCTCTTTAATTGACATGCAATTTTACACCCGAGCTCTAAATAAATGAGGCTCCTCGTTAATATTTTTGTTCAAGGTTATTCACAACCAATATGATTGTCCGTGTAGCTAAGTCGCCTGTCACACTGATCAACAGCCAAAAAATATCCTAAATAAAATCAACAAAATATTACTATTTTTAATGTGCTGAAACCGGAATGAAACTTATTTTTTCAATATTAGTTCAAGTTTTAGAGATTCGGTAATTATATGTGTTCCTGCTGTGACAGTGTTAATATACTGTAATTCACAAGAATGCACGTGCTACATTTTTATATTCGGCAAGGAAAGATGATGTAATCGGCATGATTGTGTTATGTTATACATACGTGTACATTATATTGTTTTATATTAGCCATTTTTTCCTCAGTTGGCTGACAGCGTTCATGCAAGATGTCTCGAAAGTGTGTAAACAATCCAGATCAGTTTTGTTACGTGTGTGGTGATGTGACTTTTGCGTCTCAGAGACGGTCTATTACTCCACTAATAACAAAGGCATATCAGCTATATTTCGGTTGTAAACTAGGTGATCAAGACAAACAGTGCGCACCCCACATCTGCTGTAATACATGTGCTTCAAGTCTGAGCAGCTGGTTAAATGGCAAAAAACGGTCTATGCGCTTTGCTGTCCCAATGGTTTGGAGAGAGCCTACAAATCATATTATTGATTGTTACTTTTGCATGGTACCTTGTGTTGGACAAGCCACAGGTATGTCCAAGAAAAAAAAACGGTTATTAACTACCCAAACATACCATCTGCGATGAGACCTGTGCCTCACAGTGACGAAAATCCTATTCCAAAACCCCCAGAATCCTACACTTGCGAATCAGAAAACGAATCAGATCATGACGACCGAGTGATTCGTCAGGAAGAAGATATGCCATCAACGTCAAGAGATCCTGATTTTATACCGAGCACGTCATGCCACCAACCGCACAAAATAACACAGTCAGAATTAAATGATCTTGTAAGAGATTTAGAACTTCCAAAATGTAAGGCAGAGTTACTTGGATCAAGACTGCAGCAGTGGAACTTGTTAGAAGACGATGTTTCGGTATGAGTTTTTCGTAAACGCCACAAAGACTTAGAACCATTTTTCAATATGGAGAATAACTTGGTTTTCGGCAGTAACATTAACGGCTTACTGGTGGCTTTAAATATAAACTATAACCCAGAAGAATGGAGATTGTTTATAGACAGTTCAACATTGAGTTTAAAGGCAGTGTTATTGCATATTGGAAATATTTTACCATCTCTTCCTGTAGGGTATGCAGTTCACATGAAATAATCATATGACAATATGAAGTACCTATTGACATGCATAAAATACGATGAGCACCAATGGCATATTTGTGGCGATTTGAAAGTTGTTGCACTTTTACTTGGGCTGCAGCTAGGCTACACAAAGTTTTGCTGTTTTTTGTGTGAATGGGACAGTCGAGCAAAGGCACTTCATTACACCAGACAAAACTGGCCTGTTCGTCAATTCCTAGAGCCAGGTCAAAAAATGTACAGCATATGCCATTAGTAGATTCGAAAAAAATTTTATTACCACCACTGCATATCAAGGTGGGCCTAATGAAAAACTTTGTCAAGGCATTAGATAGAGATGGGTCAGCTTTTCAATACCTGCGTCAGATATTTCCAAGACTAAGTGAGGCAAAGGTTAAAGAAGGTATTTTTGTTGGGCCACAGATTCGAAATATTTTGAAAGATACACAGTTTGAAAACAGGTATTGAAAAAAACTGCTTGGAATGATTTCCGTCTGGTGGTCACTAATTTCTTGGGAAATAGAAAAGATGACAACTATAAAACCCTTGTCAAAAATATGCTGTCATCGTATCAAAAGATAGGCTGTAATATGTCTCTTAAGATACATTTCCTACACTCACACCTGGACTTTTTTCCTGACAATTGCGGAGCCGTAAGTGATGAGCACGGCGAACGTTTTCATCAGGATATTTCAACAATGGAAAAAATGTACCAGGGAAAGTGGAATCCTTCCATGCTTGCAGACTACTGTTGGACTCTTGGTAGAGATGTTCCAGAAACGATCCATAAAACAACAGCAAAAAGACAGCGCATATAGTGATTCTTATAAGTATATGAATCTTGTTACTTTTTTTAATATATCCTTGAAAATAAAAAGTTTTTTTCTAAACCGCAACTAATTTTTTTATTTCATTGTCATTTTTGGATTCAGCGCCCCAAAATTAACAAAGAAGTGCACTTTTCCCACAAGATACAATTAAAAAAGTAAAATTTGTTGTCCTGTGTCATTTAATATACCATGAAGTCTCATCAGAAGCATTCCAACTCTTCATTTACCAACGCTCAAATCCAACATACTTTTGCGTTCTCCGTTATATTCCATATGTAACTATCTGAACAATGTGCAAAACAGAATTGATATATTCGATACGAATGTGACTTCTATCAAAATCCTCTGCAAATCAGTTATGTAATTAATTGTGCAGTTTCTTGATCGCTATATTTCTTACTGTATGTTTGTACTATGTGAGCTTCTGGTCTCCCACCAATAATTGGTTGAACTGTAGGTGGTGTAAATAAATATGTTATGACATATTTGATGATGGCTAATGAGAGAACAAGATATACTTCTTACGTAACAACTTGGAGATCATGAGATCCTCTGATTCGTCATAAGTACCACGTGCGAAAATATCTTTATGAAATAATTTCCCGTTATGCGATACACAATGCCATTAAACACGTTTAGTACCTGTAACCCAATTTCTTCAAGCAAACGGGGCGACTCCGTTATACCCTTTTCTGCTCTGAATGTCCGCAGAAATGAACGTCCAGTGGACCGGCGGATTCCCACGCATTGTCACATCTCTCGATGATGTACCAAAAGGTAGTACCGTGCACCTTTCCGTCGAACGCAGATCATTTTTCATTTCTGTATGATGATAAACAGATCGCAAACGCGTCCAGTATGCGCGCTATTGTCCTCCCTCGATCGACGGAAGGGTTGTTGTTGGGCCACCGTTTATTCGATGGTCAGGGCATTCCCACACACTCGATGATACGTGCGGACAGGACCATACCTAGGATATTTTACTGCAAAATTTATTTATTCTCAAAACCAGAGCTACGACGATTCAAATCAAATGATTTAAATCATGATTTCATCGATTTTTCAATTTTAAAACCAAATTATAATTTGTTGTTTAGCTAAATTCCATCAAATAATGGGATACTTCAATTCCTTACTCATTTGAAGTTAACAATGCTATCATAATTCATTTTTTTTCAAGGTTAAAAGGAACCTACATTTTTGTTGGGGTATTTCACAACTTATCCGACAAATTTTAAACACATATGCACTGTTACAAAAGAAGTTGATTTATCAGAAAAAAAAGGTAACAAAAGTCCTACAGAAATCGAGATAATAAGATAATACAGTTTAACAGTTCACTTACCTATAAAAGCTGTTCATGTTGGGCCTTATGTAATGGGTGATTTTTTGCCAGTATCTTTTTGGCAACACGTTTTTGACAGATGACGCGTGAATCGTTTCTTGTGTCATTGTCAAACTTGTTCAGTTTGGTCTATAATTTAACCATGAATCGACTTACGAACGAACAACGCTTGCAAATTATTGAATTTTACTATCAAAATTCATGCTCGGTTAAGAGAGTGCATCGAGCACTGCGTCCAATTTATGGGCAATTTGGTCGGCCTACTGAGGGAGCTATTCGGAAGCTTGTGACTAAATTTCGAACCCAGTTTACATTATTGGACATTAAACCACCAACACGCAGACGTAGAGTGAGGACTGAAGAAAATATTGCGGCTGTATCCGCCAGTGTTAGTGATGACCGTGAAATGTCGATTCGCCGACGTTCGCAACAATTGGGCCTACGTGGAAAATTTTGCGACAGGATTTGGGTCTAAAACCTTATAAGATACAGCTGGTGCAAGAATTGAGGCCACACGACCTCCCACAACGTTTCCAATTTGGTGAATGAGCGCTGGCAAAGTGGGAGGAAGATCCACATTTTTATCGAAAAATTGTGTTCAGCGACGAAGCACATTTCTGGTTGGATTGGTACGTTAACAAGCAACATTGCCGCATCTGGAGTAAAGACCAGCCAGAAGCATTGCAATAGCTACCAATGCATCCCGAAAAAATCACTGTTTGGTGTGCATTATGGGCCGGTGGCATCATCGGGCCGTACTTCTTCAAAGACGACAATGGCCGGAACGTAACTGTGAATGGCGAGCGCTACCGTGCGATGATAACAAACTTTTTTTGCCCAAAATGGAAGAGCTGGACTTGGCTGACATGTGGTTTCAACAATACGGTGCCACATGCCACACCGCACACGAAACAATGGGCCTATTGAGAGGCGAGTTCGGTGAACAGTTTATCTCACGTTTGGGGCCCGTCAATTGACCGCCTAGATCGTGTGATCTAACGCCGTTGGACTATTTCTTATGCGGCCATGTTAAGGCTAATGTCTACAGGGATAAACCAGCAACGATTGACGCACTGGAAGCCAATATTGAAGCATTTATTCGTGAGATACCGGCCGATATGTTGGAGAGAGTGTGCCAAAATTGGACCTTGAGCATGGGCCATCTAAAGCGGAGCCGCGGCCAGCATTTACATGAAATAATCTTTAAACATATCGACCGTTCTATCGACTCAAATAAAGATTTAATCGTTTTTTCAATTTTTTTTTGTTTTTTTTTGAAAATCAAATCCTATACCTCTTAGAAAATCACCCGATAATATGCGTCACGCAGTTGCATGTGACACTTCTGGGACCTATTGGGCTAACTGACTTTCTCCCACAATATCCAAAATTTCGTACTCGGCATTTGAAACGCGTTGTGGGCGAACCTGACTCCCACCCACTCCACGTCTGGAGCGCAAATCTCGACTAGCACGTGCACGTAAAACAATTGCGTATTCGTAAATCGGTGTGCATACAAACGAGAAACCGCTCGCGAATTTTGCCTTGCTTCTCGGTACGCTAAAACAATGTCCACCAACTCCTCATTAGTGTACACATGTGCCATTTTTATTAATAAATAACTAAAAATATAAACTCGCAAAATACTGTCTTATTTAACTTCACAAAAATCGACCGTTCTTCATTATCAGTATGAAAAAACAAAAAAATCCTGGTATTTTGTTTTCGTCAGTTGTTTGGTACAACATCTCCTACAATGAATTATTAATGCTTATTCTAATATTACGACGATGACCGCAAAATACAGATATTTACTTGTCAATTCATTATTCAAACTCATATTTATAACTAAATTTCTGTAGGACTTTTATTACATTTTTTTTTATGAGAAATCAACTTCTTTCGTAACAGTGCATATGTGGTTAAAATTTGTCGGACAAGTTGTAAAACACCCTGTATACTTGTATACCATCAAGCTCACTAGCTTCCTGGAAAGAACATATGCTTTAAGATAAATACCCTACATATGTTACAATCAGTATTACACAGCTGGAGCATCATAGGGAGTGCAAATGGTAAGATTGGCTTGTGTTAGCTGATGAGTATACGCGTTAATCAACGATGTCAGATGTCCGAATGATGTCTGATTTGTATGAGTTTGTTAATAGGGGGTTAGAGGGTCAAGTTACAGGTCGAATCTCTTTATTAGATAGTTATCATCAAGCCAGTGTTGCCATTTATAATACCTGTGATGAGAGGCTGTGTAATTCTGGTAGTAACATACCGTATGACATTTGTAGGTTCCTTTTTACAAGATGCCTACGTACGTACGTTTGGACTATATCTTAAAACTGAATTTTGAACCAATTAACCTCAATTGAGCTGTAACGTTATACAACTTGGGAAAAACCATTATTATACATTATGATGAGGAAGAGAGATGGAAATATACAAAAGTATGTAGGTGCGTGAAAGACACTCGATTATAGGATCGTATCTGGCAGCGTCGGAGTGTGACGGACAACGGGGTAAAGTAGAAGAGTGATAAAAGAGAGAGATGGCAGAACGGGCGCTGGCGCCTACCGCTTAGACGGATGCGCTCAACAAATGCGATTTGTTTCTCCCATTCGCAGAGTTGCCGATACCAATATGTCATATTTCTAAGAAATCTAAGTCTACCCAAATTTCGGGAAAAGAGTATTCCAAAAATGAAAAAAGTTCAAACTATTAAAATTGTATTAATGTTTCATGGTCCAAATCATATTTTTCATGTTTGTATATTGTTGTATAAATGATTTTGTAATCCCTATTATTGTTGCCAGTAGAGATACAACAGTATTGAGAAAAATCATGGACCGCTAGATAGGGCTACAACTACCATATGACTATCAAATAGTAGTGATAAACAGGGTTTGTTGCCTTGTGTGGCGAATTTGCGCCATAGGGGCGATTTGACAACTTTGAAGGACAACTATAACGGTTACTATGGTGCCCGGTATTCGGGAATCTGGCAATACCTGATGATTCCTAACGTTTATTACGCCAGATTGTTTGCTGACTTGCGCAGTACAACATGACAATCAACGTGACTGAGCACCTGGTAACCCTGGTTTAAGGTGTTATATGTAAAGAGCTTGGAGCAGTTAGGTATCTAGGTCACATTTTTTAATGTATTTCGAGAAATCCGTAATGTTGAGTAAATACTAGATCACGTTTCTTGCTTAGTTTGCTGAAAATTCTACAATAGACGTACATTTTGAGAAACAGAGATTTGGTGACGACAAAATCGTAAAAATATAACGCATTTTCGTAAAATAATTTCTTTGTTGAAAAGACTGTGGCTTGACGACCCATTGAACGAGTATAGTGTCCCGCTCCGCTTTGAATATTCGAAACACTATACTCCAGCAGCATTCAGCTTCAATGTTATCTTTATGAAGTTCTAACGTCTAGGCCATGCTGATTAAAAGCTTGAATGAATCAACACTTAACTCTAAATTCCCCACAATTCGGGAAGCTCTACTCAAATTGGCAACACAGCGTATCTGCCTATTATTCTCATTCGTGATACAGGTCTGCGGTTAACGGTAGGAAATATGTACGAATAGCGATGAAAGTAGACGAGCCGATGCGCTGTTGCCAAGAAATGATTTCCCATGTATAACAATGGTTTTTCCTAAGGTGTATACAAGTAGGCTTGACACAAACTGAACTGGACGCCATCATGTTGACTCCAAGAATTATCGGACAGACCGATAAACATGACCGACAGACAGACAGACGAAAACTAGTGACATGGTTCTAGGTGATGTCATATAACGTCAAAAAAATACATCTCATTATCGCAATTTTTCGCGTACACAACAGGCGTGGAAGTTAACAAGATAAAACATGATATTTCCAAACGGATAAAAATATTTCTGAAATTCTAGTGCGTTTTGACAGCTCAATAAAAGCTTGTTTTTGAAAAGTATCTTTTTCTTTTACTTAGAGAGTCACTATTACTAATTCGATAGTCTTTCATATTTGGCTGACGTCGCTCTCGGATTGCTAGGCAACGAGGTGCTTCTATCGCTTTCTAACATACGTATTGAACGCTTATCTCGTACGACATCAGTGGTATTTGGTTTTCAGTGTATAAAAAGATAAATCTCGCCGCAAAGGGTTAGGTGTTTCCGACTTGCCGTTTTTCCCTAGGTGATCTAGTCCGGCTCTGTACGTTGGCCAGACCTAGGCACCCACATCTGCTCACAGGTCACCGCAATCGCTGTATGAATTCAACGGCGTTATCTGGACATCAGTATCTGCTCTTTGCTCTCCGCTGTCTGCGAGTCCTTGTGTTGTGTTTGTGTTTGCTGTGTGTGGATAATACACATAAAGAAATCCAGGATAAGCATCGCCGGGCCGCGGCCTGCTGTCGTCTGCCCTTTTTATTAATCAGACGAAAAA